GACAATAACTTTTCACTATGCACTCGTGCTGATATTTTTAGAGCAGTTTCACCAACTATTAATCATGATCCAAAATGAAATCGTCGAGTGAAAGTCACAAACTATCAAATGGTTGTTTTTTTTTAAATTTTCATAAATCTGGTTATAGGAACCAAACCTTACACCCACAGAAACATTCACAGGTGGACAAAACTGTTCTTGTCGTTAAATATTTGGACTATGCTGTTAATATTTGTTATAATTTATCATGGTTGAATGTTATTGGATTAATTTTACCTTCGGGGACGTGATCCTGGCGGTCAGGGTCCGGAGCGGGGCGCACCAGGTCCATGGCGAAGGCCAGTCACGGTTTGGTGTGTTTTCAATCCTCCAGAAAGTGTTGACAGGCAGATATACCAAGTTGTGATGATGTTTTACAACCGGTGAGGGGCTAAGAAGCGATGAATATCAAAGTTTCGTAAAGTGTCCGCAGTGCGTCCAAGAAGCGTTCTCAAGTGAGAAAGGGGAGTGCAACTGAGCGCGCAGCCGCTTATATAGTGCGCACGACGTTCTATCGCTATGGCACCGACGCACCGACCGACGCCAGACCAGGCCATTGTACAGCTCCTGGGTTTAAAGCTCATTTGAAATTACAAAATAACCATATTATATCATTGTACCTCATGCGGACTAAAGCTGCATTGCTTTTATTATTATTTTATTTTAGAGGTGTTTTTTTTTTTTTTATTATTATTACATGACGGACCGCGAGGCTGCGTGACCGTGACCACGTGACCACTCTGAAGAAGCCCGCTACTGAGCAGTCAAACTGTCAGGTATGAAAACAAACTCTTAAAATGAAATAAAATAACCTAATAACAGAAGAACTAAACCAGGTCTAAACCAGAACTAAGCCAGGTCTAAACCAGAACTAAGCCAGGTCTAAACTAGGTCTAAACCACCAGGTCTATACCAGAACTAAGCCAGGTCTAAACCAGGACTAAAGCAAGTCTAAACCAGAACTAAGCCAGGTCTAAACCAGGTCTATACCAGGACTAAACCAGGTCTAAACCAGGACTAAAGCAAGTCTAAACCAGAACTAAGCCAGGTCTAAACCAGGTCTATACCAGGACTAAACCAGGTCTAAACCAGAACTAAACCAGGTCTAAACTAAGACTAAACGGGTTTAGTGGGTTACTCCTTTTTTTTATAACGAAATACAATTCATATTAAAGCCGCGCGCGGCGATGGTGGCCCTCGCCCCGGCGCGCACCGCCCCCCCACGCGACCTCCGGGGACTCTCGACCGCCCCGGCACGCCACCCTGTCTTCCCGACAGCTCCCAAGGCCGACAGCTCGTCCACCAGAAAAATTACACAGTGTAATGTTAAATGTGTCAGAGGAGTCATTGCGCCCCTACTGGCCAAACGTGGAAAATGCAGCATGTTCGTAATAGACTTTTTTGCTTGTAATCATGCGGAGAATTTTATTCCTGAATTTGGTACAAATCCAATAATGTAGATGTTTCATGTAGGGGGCGCTATAGAGTTCACTTTTATTAAATTTCATATTTCATTACATTCAGGTCTGGATCACACAGTTGTGATTTGAATTTGAGTTCTCTAGGACAATGCCTGTGGCCATGACAGGTCACCGAAGAAACAGGAAATGAAGGCGTTTTTGGCCAACGTGCTACGGGCGAACCGTAAGGAGTATCCCAAAAAAAAATTGGCAACTTCTGTGAGTTCATGTCTGTAGATGTGACATGTCAAATCTGAGCTCATTTGTACCAAACCCCGGGGACTTGAATCTTTTTGTAGACCCCCAAGTCAAAACGGCGCCGAATGTTTGATCCAATATGGCCGACTTCCTGTTCGTCATAGGGTCATGCTCCAATTCATCTTTTGTCTTGTCTCATTGTTCTTTATCACTGTCCCGAATTTCGTTTCCCTGCGACAAACTTTGCCTGTCCCCACTCCCATAGGGGTCCAATTCTAGGCGGCGCTGTTGAGTCGGGTCACTCGGGTCATTGTTGCGACATTTGAGACAGAGCAATGGCATATCCATGGGGGGAAAAAAAAAAACATTTGGGGGACCCTTCACCAGAAAAGTTACACAGTGCACCTTTACTTTTTCTTTTGTTTTTTTCCTTTTTTTTTTTTCCAAGTGTTTCTCAAATTAACAAATGTATGCCCTCTTTCAGAAGTTAGGGCGCCACTATGACCCAATGATTTGTTCTTAAGAATGCAACTTTTAAATATTTTTTCTATAAATGGTCCAATAACTGTAAATAGAAACACCATAAACCCCTGAAAGGCGATCGGCTGTGAGCTGGAGACATTTGTCACAGTGAGAAACAGGACACTGGACAAACTGCTCTCCATCATTTAATATTTTTTATTTACTCTTTGTTATTGTAATATAACGTGACATGTGAGCTACTGTGTCCAAATAGTTTCCCTTGTGGATCAATAAAGTCTGTCTAAGTCTAAGGTTATATTGTATTCATCATCATGTCACCTTTCTTTGTTCCAAATTTCATGACTATTTGACACTGTATATAATTAGGGCGCCACTTTTAACAAACGCTTACATTAGGGTGACCAGATTTTCAAAATTCACAACTGGGACAGACTCAAGTTTGGATAAAATTGTGAAAAGAGTGTCCATTCTTGACTCATATGTGGGTTAGTATATAATCTGAGGGATTTCTGTTGGTGCATTTTTACTTAGTTATTTATTTTTTGCTTTGTGCTCATTTTCAAACACAGTTTTCTGTATTTTCGCTTAATAAATTACAATATATTGCTCCGTTTCTTATTTACTCATAACAAATTGGTCAAAATAGGGACATTTCTTGAATAAAACTGGGACAAATCACTAATTTTGGATAAATCTGCTGGGACAGGGGACACAGGGCTCAAAACTGTGACTGTCCCGGGTAAATAGAGAAATCTGGTCACCCTGGTTTACATACATCTGTAATCTAGTCCACGCTTATGTCAGTGTCACAAATGTAAAATTACATCGAGTGCTGTTGTTTCACTATTTCTTCTTTATCTCATACTGTCTCTTTATGTGATACGTCTCTATACAAACACTATTGGTTTAATTTTAGGAGCCTGGTAACAGAGGTGGGGATTTATAAGTCGTGACTTGGACTCGAGTCAGACTTGAGTCACTATTTTTAGGACTTGAGACTTGACTTGATAAAATGGACTAAGACTTGGGACTCGACTTGGACTTGAAGGTCAGTGACTTGGGATTTGACGGACTTGAGCCCTGTGACTTGATGCATCTCCTACAAAAATATATGTTTTTAGGAAATACTTTTCTCTTTACAGTCGAGAATTTTACAGGAACAAACTGGAACATGTCCCTCTCACTTCTATTTGTTACTTTGGATGGAACTGAAGTACTGTGATACTCAAACGTACTACGGTAATATACAGTACAGTATAGTAATATACAGTAATGTACAGAACAATACAGTAAAACAGAGGGAACTACATAAAACATGATCTTTACATTTCATGAGAAAATAAATTATTAAGCACTTTAAAATCTAAATTCTTTCTATTCTGACTGTAATAATTCACACTTAGATCTTGACAAGACATTTAAAAAGGAAAAAATGAGCATTTCTACAACTCTTATATAAATACTCATATATAAAAATACACCATGACGTTTTTTTTTTTTTTATATAATTTAATTTTCAAACTACATACATTACAAAAAATACGAACCAAACAACATACAAGATACAAGAGAAACATTACGATCGAAGATTACACACAAATATGGACAAAGGTGACGGGCTGTTGACAGTGTGGACATTATGTGTGTGTGTGTGTGTGTGCGTGTGTGTACGTGTGTGTGTGTGTGTGTGTGTTTGTGTGTGTGTTTGTGTGTGCATGGGGGGATAGACAGGCTATTCAGATGAATTACAGCTGACCTGTATTATCACTAGTTAATTTGAGTATTGAATATTATTTAAGTATGTACTGGAGCTTTGCCTCAGATCACCATGACTTTTAAAGTAGAGTTTAGTGTATAAGCTATAGCTGAAACTTTGGTTTAAAGACTTGAAATGACTTGAAGCTCAAAGCAGACGACTTTAACTTGACTCGGACTTATGGGCCAATGACTCGAGGCTTGACTTGGACTTGCCTGTCTTTTACTTGAGACTTGACTCCGACTTGAGTTCAAAGACTTACTTGAGACTTACAAAACAGCAACTTGGTCCCACCTTTGCCTAATAGTCAGTGTTGGGGAGGTTACTTTTAAAATGTATTCCCCTACAGATTACATACACCAAAATGTAGTTTGTAACGTAATCCATTAAATTATTTAAAGTGAGTAACGTAATCTGAATACTTTGGATTACTTGATATAGTTGTGTTTTTTAAAACTACATGAATGTAGCGACCACATCCTGAAAATTCTTGTTTGTTCTCTTCAAATTGTCTGTTGAGCCCAAGTCTCCATGAACAGACAAGTGTTTGCTGTAGAGAAGCAAAGACCAAGAAATCTTAACAAAAGATGTTTTGTTTTGTCTGCTAAAAGAAAATAAAAGGCCCAGCATATAAAAATATTATTGATAGAGAAATGATTTCTATATGAGATCACTGCTGCCTTAAATTATGTTCACTCTACTGTTAGGTGTCATATTGTTTAGTCCTGGTTTAGTCCTGGTTTTAGTCCTGGTTTGGCCCAAAATATGAAAACAGGAAAATACCGCCCTGTAGTCCATTTATTTCAACAAAGTAACTGTAATCCAATTACCACTCATTGAAACAGTAACTGTAACTGAATACAGTTACTCATAATTTGTACTCTGATTATGTTAATCCCGGTACATGTAATCCGTTACTCCCCACCTCTGCCTAATAATAATACAGTAGTTTGCTAATTTTCAAACATAAAAACTTCTTCTTCCACAGCACTAGGTGGCAGCACCGAGACGCACCAGTCGCAAGGCATGTTGGGAGTTTTCTGAGCCATAAATAGAAACGTGACAGCAACGTTCCATCTTAGTTCTTACGTTAAGTCAGTTTGTGTCGGACGTGTCAGAACTTCAGCTACTTTTTCTAGCATTTTCAACTGTTTTTCAGTTTTATTTCTATCAGAATTTACATTTTTTATCTTTCTTCGATCAGTTTTCTTTTGTTTTGCTTTTTGAAACTACAATTTTTGAACGAAGAAAACTTGCACAGTCACTCCCTTGGACTCTGGACATTTTTTTTGGAACTTTTTGGACAGTGATGTGTCGGAAAACGATGGATTTCAAGCCTAAACACCACTTAAAATCCGATTGTGTGCGCAGAATTATCCACCCTAGGCTCAGTTTGAGACTCCTCCGTGTTACAGTGGACCAAGACACGGGCCTGAGCCATTGGAGAAGCAACATCGTGAAATCTACGATCAGAAAATGCATCCACAAAGAGAGAAAACGAGTCCAATTGGCTAGAATGGCTAAAACTACCGAAGAAAGCGGTAAAATTGACGAAATTCACGAAGAAACCAACGCTACGGCCTCGGACGCAGCAGCGACCCCCACTCGGAGCAATGGCGCCCGAGAACACGACGCAATACCTCATGAGCAAAGTTTACGAAGATCTGCCGCAAGATGAGCACGTTTTGAGTTTTGCCGCAGTTTTGCCGCAAAGTGAGGAGCTGGGATTGTGGCAGAACGCAAACACGACGCCGGAAAGGAGCTACGACGCGTGTCTTTCGTTCCAGCAGCGAGACTTTGACGAGCTGTACGGTGCGCTCTGGTAAAAACCTGTGCGTAAAACCTGTGCGTAACCAGCGTATCCGCTTGAAACTGGAAACTGGTGACTGCTCCGGCCACTTGTGGGAACATTCTGTTGAAAATGAAAGGTGTGAACTGCTCGAATTTATGTTAAAATGTTAAAAGACGCTAAAATGTTAAATGTTTTTTTTCCTGAGTTGTGTGTTGAGTTGATTTGCTATGGCATTATTTCATGGTTGGGCTTTTTGTCTACAGCGTCCCATCCTCTAGGGGGCGCCACTGAGCCTCGCCTCACCCCCGTCTGCCCAGAGGAGACAAAAGTGCGCCCCTCGGACATGGCCTGTCTGTGAGAACGCAGGTAAACCCGGTAAATTGCGTTTAAAAAAAAAAAAAAAAAAGACGAGATGGTGGTAAGATTACTGTGTTGATACAGTAAAAGTGCTTTCCGCTGTCACTCTTGTCTTGAGCATTTTCCAGGTTCACGTCGCCATGACAACCCGGGACGCACGGACGCACACCGGATGTGAGTTGTCTCGTGGCTGATCAAAGGTGACTCTTGTGTACCATGGTAACACGACCGAAATACGAGCACATGACATAGCTGTAATGTTTATTGTAAAACTATTTACTATGTACATATTAAATATAAATATATACAATGTTATGTTGAAATGAGTTGTGGGGAAGGGATTTTAATAAAGGCGCTTTTGTGAAATTTAATAATTGTCATTTTTATGTTGTATTTTTTTTAGACCAACACCATACCGCAGTAACTAAATCATGAGTATCTAAGGGGTCTCCAACCTTTTTTCACTTGGTAAGATACATTTACAAAATGAAAATTACAGAGAGCTACTCATTTTAGCGGTTTCAGAAAAAGTATACATAAGTGCCATGACAAGACTTTGATGGGTACAGTTAGATAAAACATGAACCATTATTTATGAGTGCACTTAGTCAGCAAAATGGATTTACAAATAATAATCCACTTTTAATTCATCAAATTTGAGTTATTCAGGTCAATAAATGTAATTCAGAAATCCCTTGTGAGCTACTTGGAAGGGGATGGAGAGCTACAGGTTGGAGTAGTTTAGGATTATGCCAGTGGCAGTGGAAAGTATCTTAATCACTTAAATTCAAGTTAAATTACAGATACAGATCAGCCTTTATCGACGATCATACATTAGGATCAATGTCTTGTAAATTAAACCATGGCAGCTGCTCTGCTTACCATGGCAAAGCAAGGCAAGTTTATTTGTATTGCACAATTCATACAAAAATGAATTCAAAGTGCTTTACAGAATAAGAAGGACATTAAAATCACCATATCTATAAATTTCAGCAAAGAGACTTGTAATTTGATATATTGTGAGGGCCTCCGATATTACTGAGACTTCTGACGATACGATATCCCTATTGGTCAACACATTTTCATCCGTCTGGTAGATTGCGTCCATCCTGTGTCCACTCTGAATAAATATTTTGCAAACTGCAAATTCCTAGTCCAACCACAAGGGGGCACCATTGTACCACAAATGTTATGTTATTTTTAAGGGAGACGGCTGTCACTCGGGCACATTAGGGTCTCCAACCTTTTTTTCCTTGGTGAAATTGCCAGAGAGTTGTTCATTTTGCAAAAAATTAAGTATAAGAGCCAGAGCCTTAGAAGGGCACAGTTACATACCAATGAAACAAAACATTATCCGTTTATTAGTGCACAGAGTGAGGCATCAAAACGATACATGTACAACGGTAATAGGCATTTAATGAACAAAATCGTAATTAATTTAATCACAATACATATAATTATGAAACCTCTTGGTGAGCAGGGTTCCATGAACGTCCTGAAAAAGTCCTGGAAATCAAAAAGTCATGGAATTTTAGTATCTCTTTCACGCAATTACATTGTTCTGTTATGTTTTCATTAGGCTATTATTATTTCTGAATGTCTGCGCCTTTTTGTTTAAAAGAGACGATGATAAATGTACTGACAGTATTTTAAATCTTAAAAAACTATAAAACCAAACCATAAGGTGAGTGGAAAGCGTTAAGATTTAATATTTAGCCCTAAAAGTATGATCAATTTTACACATGTAAGCTGCCGTAAAGTCATGGAAAATTCAGTTTAGGTCATGGAAAAGTTTTGAAATTTTGTGAGAGAAAAAAAAAGTGGGAACCCTGTGCTTGGAAGAGAATGGAGAAGTCCTGAAAACTCCCGAGCTACAGTTTGGAGTTTGGAGACTCCTACACCAAGGCCTTGATCCTTGGATTTCAATTCAGTATTCGGTATTATTTGACTCTTAAGATTAGTTATTTTCTTTGGGTTTTTAGTTTCTCTAGTTTCTTTTTATCCAATTCTGAGGTACGGGTCGTAACGGGGAGCAGATCAAATTCGTGAACGTTTTTTTTTCTTCACAGTTTTAGCCGTTTTACTCATCAAAACCTTAACCCGCAGTGTTTCCAAATACTAAAAGATCTGGCACTCACGATCTTTGCCCACAGCTTCTATTAAAAAAAAACTAAACAGAAAACTGATGGTGATAAAAGACATTTCAATGAACTTTTGGCCCGCAACGAAATCAAATTAACTCTTGTAGAATCAAAACAAAGGAAGCACGATTTCAGCTCACACACACAATTTATCGTTTAAATATCTCTTTTTTTTGTGGGACTTCAAAGGGGCCGCTGAGAGGAATTTTTGGGAGTGGTGGAGTCGGACGTAGGTTTATAATGACAATGCTGAGTGATTATCTTTGAGCACACGTCCTTGTTGTGTAATTTGGTTGTAAGAGGCGTCAGTGGGCTCAACTCTACAGCTCAAGAAGAACATTTGAATTTCCTTTTTTCTTTTCGGAGGAGGGCGTCGACTGTATCACCATGACTCCAGTTAAACTAAAGTATTTGCATAATAAAGCTTAAGAGCCCACCGCTCACTTATACTCACTTATTTATGTGTTACCGCTGATTTAACACACTTTTGAATTCATTGTTAGAGTTAAAAATAGATTTGTGATATAAATTCTAGCTCCAGACACTATAGGAAATATTTTTACTTTATTTAATGACTAAACCTGTTGAGTTTGTGTGTCATTCATTCGTTTTTCAAAATAAAACCAAAAATAAGAAAACGAAAAAAAAAAAACTATTTTCTAAATTATTTGTCTCCAAAACTAAAATGAAAAAACGGATAATGATTTGTTGTTTTGTGTTTTTGATTTTGTGTTTAAAGGAATAATGGAAAAAAAACAGATAACGACCTTTCCTATTTCTGTGACTTAAACTGCAATGCCGGAATTTAACGCCACATACAAACTGAACCAGGACTAAAGCAGGAATAAACAAGGTCTAAACAAGGACTAAACCAGGACTGAACCAGGACTAAAACAGAACTAAAGCAGGTCTAAACCAGGACTAAACCAGGACTAAAACAGAACTAAAGCAGGACTGAACCAGGACTAAAACAGAACTAAAGCAGGACTGAACCAGGACTAAAACAGAACTAAAGCAGGTCTAAACCAGGACTAAAACAGAACTAAAGCAGGACTGAACCAGGACTAAAACAGAACTAAAGCAGAACTAAAGCAGGTCTAAACCAGGACTAAAACAGAACTAAAGCAGGACTAAACCAGGACTAAACCAGGACTAAAACAAGTCTAAACCAGGACTGAACCAGGACTAAAACAGAACTAAAGCAGAACTAAAGCAGGTCTAAACCAGGACTAAAACAGAACTAAAGCAGGACTAAACCAGGACTAAACCAGGACTAAAACAAGTCTAAACCAGGACTAAAACAGGACTAAAGCAGGACTAAAACAAGTCTAAACCAGGTCTAAACCAGGGCTAAAACAGGGCTAAAACAGGACTGAATCAGTTCTGAGTGTTGGGACCCGCATAGACTGTTGGGTGATCAGGACTGAGACCAGGACCAGACTGGGACCGGACTAAAACCAGGGCTGAGACTAGGACCAGACCAGAACCAGACTGGGACCAGACCCAGACTGGGACCAGGACTGAGACCGGGACCAGACTGGAACCAGACCAGGACTGAGACTGGTTTAATCCTCTTTTAGTCCTGGTTCAGTCCTAGTTCAGTCCATATGCAGCGCAAAAATCCGGCATCGCAGTCACGAAAACCGCATTTTTTTCCATTATTCATTTAAACACAAAATCATAAACTGAAAAAAATATTCGTTATCCGTTTTTGTTTTGTTTTTTTTTCGGTTTTGGAGACAACATTTTCTTATTCTTGGTTTTATTTTGAAAAACGAATGAATGAACGATAGACGGATTCAACAGGTTTAGTCGTTAAATCATCTCAGTCATCTATTAAAACGTCTATCTCCAAAGCTGAAAATCTATTACCACAGACATCACAAGTTGGAGCAGAGTGTTTTTAGTAGAGAGAAGAAGAAGAAGACTATCTCCAGGTGTGTTTGTGATGAGGAAACAACATTATAGCGGAATATAGCGTAACATGGGCTCTTAAATGGCACTTAGAAGGACAAATATTTTCTTATGTGGGATCTGTTGTGAAAGAACCACCAACATAGCACCTACTGTATAATTTCTATCTAAGAAAAGCCCAGCGGTGAGACTAAAATAGGGCAAGGAGAAGGGGCCGTGCTGTTCCCCTCACCCACCCCCTCTGGGACCTCACCCCTCTGTGGAGCCGCTTCATTAGTCAAAACAGACCGGAGCAGGAACTAAGGCATGTTTGTTCCACTGCTATTTCAGTCACACGGCACCATTTTAGGGACCTCCTCCTCCTCCAACGGCGACGACGACGAGACCAGGCAGGACACCACCAGACCAGCTATGACCGAGCACTTTCAGGTATAACCAGTGTTGGGGAGTAACAGATTACATGTACCGGAGTTATGTAATCAGAGTACAAATTATGAGTAACTGTATTCACTTACAGTTACTGTTTCAATGAGTGATAATTGGATTACAGTTACTTTGTTGAAATAAATGGATTACATTGAGATATTTTCCTGTTTTCACATTTTGGGCAATATCCCTTTTTTTGTTTTTGTTTTGTTTTGTTTGGTAATTCCACTCATTGCCGGACACTAAACCAGGTCTAAACCAGGATTAAACCAGGACTAAACCAGGACTAAAACCAGGTCTAAACCCAGGTCCAAACCAGTTTTAACCCTGGTCTAAACCAGGTTTAAAACCAGGTCTAAACCCAGATCTAAACCTGGTTTAAACCAGGACTAAACCAGGATTTAACAGGACTAAATCATGCAGCGTGGACTGTATCTCCTCCTCTTCTATCAATAATATTTTTAATATGGTTAAGGAAAGTCTGGGCTTTTTATTTTCTTTTAGCAGATAAAACATCTTATGTGAAGATTTCGTCATCTTTGCTTCTCTACAGCAAATCAAGTAATCCAAAGTATTCAGATTACGTTACTCACTTTAAGTAATTTAATGGATTACGTTACAAACTACATTTTGAGGTGTGTAATCTGTAATTTGTAAGGGAATATATTTTAAAAGTAACTTTCCCAACACTGGGTATAACAGAGACATTACCGAACTGTAAATGAAGACGTCTCACGAATCGCTCAAATGATCTCAAGTTTATTTCAGTTTTCATGCCTTTTTAACTCTTACAGCAGCATTTAAAAAGACCATATTTTCTGATCTTTATGTGAAAAAACAGAAACAAAAAACACTGTTCAACCTTGTGATGTCAAAATTAGTCTCGCCCCAGTCTAGTTATCTTACATACAGTAAGCTGGTCTTGACGTCAAAATAAGTCTGCTGCTGCCTGCATCTAAGTATAAAGCATTTTATCGACTGAAAATCAGGAATGCATGTTAGCATGCTGGTTGTTGTAAGCTTTGCATGGTCTCTGAGAGTGAACGAGGTATTGTAAATAAATGATTTTGTGTTAGGATGGGTGAAATGTCAATCACTGATATTAGTAACAAATACATAGTTTCCAATCAAGATCAATCATCAATCAATTTGACAATGTTAAAAAAAAAAAAAAAAAAGTAAAAAGTCATTAAAACATTAAAGAACCAATTTTTACTGCATGTTTAGTCTAAGTTCTTGTCTCAAACTGAAAACACTTTGTTGCACTTGGTGATGTCATTTGGTAGGAAGTGCTACACTGTGTTTTTAAACTCCACACACCTTCACTAGAATATTTTGGATGATTTAAAAGAGTAGCCAGAGGGGCTTAAAAGTCTTAAAAAGGTCTTAAATTTTATGTTCCTAAATTAAGGCCTTAAAAAGTCTTAAATAATCCTGTCCAAGTCTTATTTTTTTCACAAAGGTCTTACATTTCATTATTTGTTGTATACTCAGCCGAGCTGCAGTGAATGTTAAATGGAGGGGAAAAAAAAAAAATAACGATGTGAAATCACCTAACCTGAATTAATGTCTAATTTGGAGAATGCGGCAAACAATACTTTGGTTTCTGGTGCCGGTGGCAATGAGTAAACAATCAGTAGAGTGGAGGAAGACATTGGATGGATCATGGGGAAGTGTAGGTTTAATCCTCAGTGGCTCTTACAGTATATTGTAGATATACTGTAGTACTGGTAGTTGGTTAGTCATTATTAGAATTGGATCTGGTGTTTTTCACCTGCATAATGGAATGCAATGTTGGTCATAATTTTCATTTAAGTGATCTTAAAAAAGTCTTAAATTTGGGGTAGTCAAACCTGGAAATACCCAATTTCAGCCCGGGAACTGCCAGTCTCTAGTCTCAAAGTAACAACATTCCAACATGTCTTAAAGCTCACAAGAGTCCATTTTGTGTAACAGAGGGCCTTTAAACTGAGAGAGATTCATCTCTTGCAGAGATGTCCTGTATTGTATGTGTGTCACCCTGGGCCCAGTCAGGAGGAGCTCTTCACTTTAAGGAGGAGGCCGTAAACTATGTCAAGGACGAGAACAGACAAATCTGGTTCACAGAGAAAGATGCTTTAGCCCTGTTTCAATCAGAGCGTGTCACAGGAGCTGCAAACTTCTAACTCTGTACTAAATATCTGTAGACTTTTAGATTGACTTTGTCATGGCAAATAGTTTCTAAGATAAACAAGTGAAGTGTTTAGCATGTCATTGCAATTCAATCACACTTACCTGACACTTTAACCACACTGGTATTTATGACTGTACTTTGTCTGCCAAAACAGAGCTGCTGATTGGTCGAGAACAGAGTTCTTAAATGAGCTGTATCTCACTGGTTTTACAGGAAAAACTGAACCTAGGCTGACAGCACCTTGAAAGTCTCATGTTACACAAAATGTATTCATGTGAGTTTTGAGACATGATATAATGATGTTACCTCCTCAAAAACAGTTGTGGAGTTGTGTTTTGTTTCATTCACACATGTATGAGTAACATTTTTAGGTGGTGTCCATACGACAACTGTGAAGTTTTTATTCATTTTGGCCTTTTGTCCACACAGAGCCGACATTTCAGGTGGGAAAAAATTGTGTTTTTTGAGAAAGGGTTCCAGAGTTGATAAATCAGATAATGCTGGTATTGCATTTTCGTGTGGACAAGCAAACTGCAGCTTTTAGAAAACGATAATGTCGCGACCTCGTCATCGCCACGTGGCCAGAAGAGAAACCCACACAGGAAGGACTTCATGTGCATGTGCTCTTTGTAGTGTTGTGTGTCCAGTGGCTTTGGCTGTATCCTGTTTACAGCGCCACATACAGGTGTGGCAGATGTATTACATCGTTTTCACTCAGTGCTCCGTTGTCATGTGGACCTGAATATTTATTGACCCGACATGCGTGTGGACACAAATTTTATGCAACCCACAATAAATAAATAAATAAATAAATAGAAATAAAGGACTGTTGTCATGTGGACATAGCCTTAGTGTATTTATCTATCCCCAAATCTCAAAATGCTCTGTTCCACATTGTGATGTCATATAGTGGTAGTTTTCAAGTTAACTGTTTCCAAGTTTCTTTGATCCAGTTTCTTCCCATACATTTGCCCCTGTCCTTCCCCCCTGTCTCTTCTCCTCTCATTGCACCTGTCTCAGCCCCTTCCTCTGCACCTGTCTCAGCTCCTGTCTTGCCTCTCGTCCCTGCCTCTGCCCCTGCTCCTGTCTCTCCTCTGGTATCTCCTCCTGTCTCTGCCTCTGCCCCTGCTCCTGTCTCTCCTCTGGTATCTCCTCCTGTCTCTGCACCTGTCCCTGCTCCTGTCTCTCCTCTGGTATCTCCTCCTGTCTCTGCACCTGTCCCTGCTCCTGTCTCAGCGCGGAGCCTCAAACAGCCGTGTCATTGTCGGGAGGCGTTAAGGGCAACAGCCTGTAAACAGCAGATGGTCCGAGCTCCTCCTGAACACTGAGCCTGCTGCAGCTCGGTGGGATTTCAAAAGACCCGAGGAGCTCCGCCTTTTTCTTACACTCCTCTGTGTTCAAAAAGCATCTGACTTTTCAATCTGCAAGACACGATGTGAAATAAAATACATGGATTTAATGATGGATTTAAGTGAGATGAAGGGTTGGAGGAAGAGTTATCTTTTGCAAACACAGATTTTGTTGTTTCGTTGAAAATATATGTGAAAATATAGTTTTATTTTATAATTTTTTTTAAATTTAATTGGAACAGTGATATATTTCCTAGGCAGGTGACACCTCAAATATGCAAAATAAAAATAAAAAAAAACAATAACAAGTGACAAATAGCGACAGTTTTACGCTAAAAGTGTCCACAAGTCTGGAGTCTTTCTTATTGATAATGTGAGACTGTTCCAGAACTTTGTGCCTCTGACTGAGACACACTTTGTCCAAATGTGTGTGGGACCTCACAGCAGTGGTGGAGTTAGCAATTTGGGGGCCCAAGGTGAACTTGAGTTTGGGGCCCTCACTATAATGCACTGTTTTTAGTTTTGTTTTTTTCTATTTTGTATTTCTTTAATATTTATTGTCTGTTTTACCCCATTGTTCATGAGACACACACATCCGTATTTGAATTAGGGTGGATTGGAAACTTGTCTTATGCGTTAGGCAGCCGACTAGAAACCAGATGTGGTGGACACCTCTGCCACCACTCCATAGTGTCAGTATTATTTAATTTCACTTACATGAATTAATTACATTACGCATAATTTAATTCCTTTTATTTAGACTTATATTCTAAATTGAGTCCACACATTTTAGTTAATATAAGTCTGATTTACTTATTCTTTTTGTTTTTTTGAGCACCGGATGGAGGACCCTTGGGAGAGACCATCATGATTCAACAAGAAATTTAGTTTTATTAAGTTAGTTTGTTTAGTTTGTGTTTAGGTCACTTTATTATCACTTATTATTTTCTGTATTGTGATTATTTGCCTTTTTGTTACTTTGATTACATTAGTAGTTTATTTCATTCTTTGGTGTGATTCCTCCCTCTTGTGTTTAGCTTTAGTTGGTCCTCAAGTATTTAAACCGCCCTGTTCTTTTGTCTGGTTCGGGGTTAGTTTTGTTCTGTTCAGTTTGATTTTGAGTTACCCCAGTTGTGCCCAGCTTTTTTTTTGTTAATAATTTGCCTAATTTGAGCCTTTGTTAAATTATATCTTTTTTGGCTTTATTAAATTTAAACTTCTTTTTATACCTTGTTGTCTTTGCCTTTCTGTTTGGTCCACTACACCAGACATGAAAGAAGTTTTATTTTTGTTGCTAGTACAATTACTTTTTTGTTTACATGATTATGATTATGCTGTGATTATGTTCAAATCAGGGTCAAGCTGATGAGTCCATTCTAACGTGAAAGGGGGGAAGCTTTGACAGTTAAAATAGATTTGACAATCAGACAGTATTTTGATGCAGTTTTTTTGTTTAAAAGTAAACTATTCTCATTTAATGTCATATTGAGAGAAAATCTAATTCCTCTGAGGCCTCGGCGATTAGTGGCACTGAGGGCAATTAGTTGGGGGCCCCTCCAGGTTGGGGGGCCCTAGGCAGCCACCTACTGTTGCCTAATGGTAGTGCCGCCTCTGCCTCACAGTCCCCCCATGGTTATAGTTCCCATACCACTGACAGTCTTTGTTTTAATAAAATCCTGTCACATCCATATTTAAAATGAACAAAATAGGTATAGATCTTGATAATTATTAGTTTTTTGTAATGTATATTTTAATTCATAATGACCAAAAATCAACATAAACAATATTTAAATCGATATTTACAAAACAACAGACATGAGGCGGTAGGGTGAGGGTGGGGGATACATTATATTACATCATCAGAAATATAACCGGAGTTGAGTTTTGAGTTTAAGTAGTTTCTTTTACACATGTTTGAGTAATTCTTTATTATTAGTCGGTTTACATCTCAAAATGTGATGTCATATGGCGGTAGTTTTCAAGTCAACAGCCCCTTTTATCTTTAGTTTAATCGAGATCGACAATTTCAGGGCTGAAATTAACAAAATTATTCTAGTTAAGATGTAGAGCGTTAAAAAATGCAGTGAAGCACTTTCTGTATCACCGTATGACATCACAAGGTGGAATAATGTGTTTTTTGTTTGAAAGAAGAACTCAAAGCTTATGTGTTATAAAAAAAAAAACACAACTCTACGTCTGTTTGTGATGAGGAAACAACATTATAACATAGATCCGAAAATAGCGTAACACAGGCCCTTTAAATACAGTATTTCCCATCACATTGTGTACTGCTCCCCCTGTACCACTAGGGGGCCATGTACTACGGGTTGAGACCTCATACTCTGGTCTCAGGTGGTGCTGGGCTGTAGGATTGTGAATGATTATGAGTATATGTGCTGGTTATATATATGATGTGACCGTACGTGACCTCTGCCCCCCTCAGACCTCACAGTGACAGCCAATCACGAAGACGGGCCTCCGGAGGGCGCCGCCAGGTGAGCGCCACAGACAACAGCGTCATTATGGGGACATTTGTAGCCGCTCCGTGCGTACCACTCACCTTCTGCTACATCTACTGGAATGTACTGTATATATAGGTTTAGTAACAACATGTATGGTGCAAAAGAAATAATGTTATCAATGGGTTTCTGAATGATAGTGAAAATTTGGACTGTTGCCATAGTAATTGACAATTTAAAACTAAATATTATATGTTTTGTAGCCGCTTCATACCACTGACTTTCTGCTATATGTACTAGAATGTATATATAGTTTTAGTAAACAACAGGTATGGTGTTTTTTCCTATACGAAAAGGAAAGAATACGCTCACAATGGGTTTCAGAATGATGAAAAATCCGGACTGTTGCCATAGTAATTGACAATTTGTTCCCTTCATCAAAAACAGAGATTGTACCACTGGTTATTGGTTTATTTGATAGGAACAAATCTACATAAACGACGTTATCTGCCTGTAATAATCCAAAGTTCATCTCACAGTGGTTGTAGTTTTGTATAATTTATTAAAGATCCTATATTATGTAAAACTGACTCTTGTGAGCGTTAGAATGTTGTTACCTCCTCAAAAACAAACCTAGAGTTGTGTTTTGTTTCATTTACACGTTTGAGTAGTTCTTTATTATTAGTCTGTCTACTTCCTCAAAGCTCAAAATGCTCTGTTCCACCTTGTGATGTCATGTAGTGGTCGTTTGGACAGAGAGACTAAGAAGGAAATGTCTAAAGCTATGTTCAGACTGCAGCCTGAAGTGACCCAAATCTGATTTTTTTTGCCCCTATGCGATCTGTATCTGATCTTTTAATGCCAGTCTGAACGACACAGATACGATTTTTTCAAATGTGACCCAGGCCATTTGGATATGTGCTCCTAAAACCGATACATATTAGATCTTTTGACATGTGATTTCAGTCTGAACAGCCAGGACGCATTCATCCCACCTACACGTCAGGCTCAGATTCGAGTCAGTGGAGGGAAACCGAGGTTAGTGTGTTTATTAATATTTGGGGGGATCGCGGTATTCAGGCCAAATTGGGTGGGTCTTATCGGAACCGGGCGTTTTTTGGAATGATTGCCAGAGAAATGTCCGAGCGCGGCTACAGACGGTCCTGGCTCCAACATCAACAAAAAATAAAGAGTCTGCGAGCCAAATACAAGGAGGCTAAAAACTCAAACAAACGAAGCGGCCGTGGACGTGTAACCTGTTCATTTTACAAAGAATTGGACTGTATTTTGGGAGGCAAGCCCAGCGTTTAGCCAACTTCCGTAAACACTGAACACACTCGCTGCATGTCAGGTGTTTAAAGTTCACACTGGAGATCACATACAAGTAGCCAGGCTGGCGTCTCCTAGTGCCTCCACTCGATTTCATTTCTCTCCAGCGACTAGAACAGGAATTGGAATACACTAGACGGTTTGCAAGAATCCTGGAAGTTGTAGACCGAGCACCGGCCAATCAGCGAAGAGCTGTGAAGCCATGATGTCAAACTCAAGCACCTGTCTGAGTCCCTTTTGTGGTACAACACAACAGTAAACAAAATGGTTCTGTGTTGGCAATGTTTCCCAAGATCGAGGATTTAAAGCCGCAACAAAGAGAATGTTTGGTGAATTTGATCAAGGTGAAAGACGTTATTGCCGTTCTTCTTACGGGATTTGGCGCATTACATACGTCACGATCAAATAGCAGCGATTGGTTAAATAAAAAAGCACCTGCCTACTGTCGAGCGAACGAATTCTGCAAGGTCAGACGGTTTCCACAAAGTGAAACCGGCTGATGAATCAGGCTAAGATTCAGAGTCACATTTAATTGGAAACGTGAACGACCTCGCAAAAAAATCAGATTTCACAAAAAAATCCAAATTGAGCATTAAACCCTGCAGTCTGAACTTAACCTAAATCCATGCATCGCTCTTAATAGCAAAACAACAACACTAATAATAATAAGGATAGCATTAAAAATAATTCTAGAAGTTCTTCAAATCACAAACTTTTACATTTAACTTATTTAGTCTCTATTTCCACTCAGAAAACTCCAAAGTAATCTAATTGTATCCACTTAAAATCTCCTCTGATACCTTTACGAATCATTTAGAAACATTTGAGAAAGTTGTTTTTAACCACCACTGGCCCTTTTATTTAGTCTTTTGTGTGTGTCTTTTACAGAACGGTTCATAATAAAGCCCAGATCGATGCAGGGGAGCAGGTTTGGACAGGAGGTAGCTACGACGAAGAAAGATCGATGAGATGTGGTGACAGCGATCGTATTAAGATGCTCCTCCACCACTCACCTGCTGCTCTCTGTGTGTGGCACTGATTCAAAGAGTGAAGAAAAATAAAAAACACACTTGTCTATAGGTCCGGTTGAGCTTAAAAGTGCACTGTGTAACTTTTCTGGAGTGTTTGTCACCATGGAAATGTTAAGGCTTTGGTTTAAATTGTCCACAGTATGGCATTAAACTAATCTGTCTTGCTTTTATTCAACTACAGGTGTTATTTATTGCTCAAAACTATCTTAAACAACATTGATTTTTACTGTGAGTGGGGTCGCCTTTGGTTTGCAAGTCTCCATAGAGATTCTTAAGTTTATGGCCATATTGTGGAACATTTTAGGCTCATCTCCATGGTGACAAGCAGGTGATGGACACTCCAGCAGAAAAGTTACACAGTGTAATGATGCCTTTAAAGGTCCTATATTAACCAAAATTGACTCTTGTGAGTTTTAAGTCATGTTATAATGGTGTTGTGTCATTAAAAACAAACTAGAGTTGTGTTTTGTTTCATTCACACGTGTTCGAGTTTTTTTTAAATTATTAGTCTGTCCACATCTCCAAAGCTCAAAATGCTCTTTTCCACCTTGTGATGTCTTGTAGTGGTATTTTTGAGGTTAACATCTACCTCTTACCTTTAGTTTAGTACTGAAATTTTACAAATTATTCTAGTAAAGGTGTATGGATTTTAAAAACACAGTGAGTTTAACATTGATAAACAGTGTTCGGAAGGTTCATTTTAAAACGTTTTGCCCTACATATTACAGATTACATATCCCAAAATGTAGTTTGTAAAGTAATCCATTAAATTACTTAAAGTGAGTAACGTAATCTGAATACTTTGGATTACTTGATTGTCTTGCTTTTTAAAACTACATGAATGTAGCGAGAATCCTGAAAATTCTTGTTTGTTCTCTTCAAATTGGCTGTTGATCCCAAATCTCCATAAAGAGGCTTTTGTTTGCTATAGAGAAGCAAAGATGAAGAGGTTTTATCTGCTAAAAGACAAAAAAAAAAAGTCCAGTCTGTCCTTAACCAGATTAAAAATATTATTGATAGAGAAATGCTTTTTATATGAGATCACTGCTGCTTTAAATTATGTCCACCTACTGTTAAGTGTCATATTGTTTAGACCTGGTTTAGTCTTGATTTAGTCTTGGTTTTAGTCCTGTTTTAGACTTGGTTTAGTCCTGGTTTAGTCCTAGTTTAGTCCTGGTTTTAGTTCTGGTTTTAATCCTGGTTTAGACCTGTTTTAGTCCTGGTTTAGACCTGGTTTAGCCCAAAATGTGAAAACAGGAACATACCGCTGTGTAATCCATTTATTTCAACAAAGTAACTGTAATCCAATTACCACTCATTGAAACGGTAACTGTAATCAAATACAATTACTCATAAGTTGTACTCTGATTACGTAATACCGGTACATGTAATCTGTTACTCCCCAACACTGTAGATAAATAAAAAATTGTGTAATATGGGCCCTTTGGGTGTAACAGTTCCTTCTGCTGGTTAACAGGGAAATAATCTTTTCGTTGAATGTTCCATAGTGTAGAATTAAACATGTCTACCCTTAACTTCATTAAATGTGTTTGTATTGCTCAGAATATCTTGAAAAACAACAACATACTGTACATTTCTCTCTGCAGATCAGATCTACAACTTGTAACTCATCTGCCTGTCTCCATGGAGATAGATACATTTAATGCCAAACCAAGGGATGTATTTCAAAACACCCAAAGTGCTTTACGTTGGATTACCGTATTTTTCAGACTATAAGGTGCACTTAAAATCCTTTCATTTTCAAAAAAATCAACAGTGTGCCTTATGTATTAATTCTGGTTGTGCTTACTGACCTCGAACTGATTTTATGTGGTACACGGCGCTCAAAAATATGTCAAAATGTTTTAGTACAACTTTGGCAAGCCACGAAATAGAGGGCTGCGCGAGACAGAATTTTCAGTCCCGCTCCCGCCCACACCTGCAAAGAATTGTAATTTTCATTCCCACTCTCACCCGCATCTGTGGTATTTTGTCCCACTCCCACCAGCAAATCCCGCAAGATGGGGACATTCGCTTCTATCAAACTCAGTCAAGAGGAAAAGAATTGTCTAAAATGTGCACAAGATTAGACCATGTTCGCAAGTTTAGGCTGCTTAAAATGTTAAAATACAATAAATATCCAGCACAAATGATGTATGATAGGCAAACATTAATCATTTGTATACTTTACGTACACTCATATTTCATTGCGGGACTGCACTTTATCATTTCACTCGCCCGCGGCTGCAATGAGCCTTCAAAATGTGTCCCCCGCCGCACTGTTTTGCATTGGGTCCCGTGGGTGCAGGCTCTACTCCGAAGGCGCACCTCTTGATGGATTGCTGGAGCAGTACAGCTACCGTAGTCAGGAGCCTCGCAGAGTAATACACATTCACCAAGACAGGGAAGCAACACCGGGGGAATTATGTCACTATCTGCCAATGGATTGCGGATGCCTGGGCTAAGGGATCAGTCTCAAGTGTCGTCCGTTTGTTTTAATTAATATGTTTTATAATCCAGTGCACTTTATACTGTGAAAAATACGGTATTCATTCTGTACTATTGTAGCAACAGCTGGCCTGGCACCACAGACTGTATAAATGGACATAACTAACCCTTTAGCCACAGCGTTCCAAATAGGAAGTGAGCATGGGTCCACTTCAGGCTCCATCGACTCTGACATCTGATACATGGATCCCAAATTTTGGACTTCCGGTTATCGTGCGATGCATACTGGGAAGGATCCTCCGAAAAAGTGAGCATCAAACCGCCATGTTTGATTTCCCGGTGGGATGCGTCTATTGTCAAAAACAATCTTTTCAAGTGTTTTCAACCATATCGCTTTTGTTTCTAGTTCTGATATTGTCATATTTTACTTATGGGATTCGGACATTGCCTGGTTGTTGGATGTCCTAACAGCAGAAAATGGGCTTTGAAAGGTTGCAAACTCCATAAATGCAAAAGGGAATCAGATGTGTGTGACTGCAAACCTCCATTCAAACTATTTCCCTTCCCAGCGGGATTGAAACATAGTAAAAGGTGAAGGCGAAGGGCAGTATTGATCCACAGGAAAGACGAAAAAGGTAATCTTGGACTGCCTAAGAAATCATCCCGAGTTTGCAGCGAACATTTTGTATGTGGAGTGCCATCAAAGCAAAATCTTGTTTATTAAGCGAGAGGTGCAGAAGACAAACAGGCCGAGCTCACACTTTCTTGTTCTTGTGGTTTTACAGCAACATCACGTCTTGGTCTCTTTGCAGTGGAACAGCTGGTGCCTTTCGCTTTGGCGTTGACGTTCCCTGCAAACACGGGATGATTTCTTAGGCAGCCAAAGGTTTCCGTTTTGGTCCTTCCTGTGGATCAGTACTGCCCATCGCCTTCACCTTTCACTATTTTTCAATTCCGTTGGGAAGGGAAACAGTTTGAACGGAGGTTTGCAGTCACACACATCTGATTCCCTTTTGAATTTATGGAGTTTGCAAACTTCCAAAGCCCATTTCTTGAGCCGTTTTCTGCTGTTAGGACATCCAACAACCACACAATTACAATGTCCAAATCCCATTTATTTTATTTATTTATTTATTTAATAGGGACAGTGCATCTTAATGAACATCTACAACATTGCAGTGTAAATATGCCAGATTATAGCAAGACTGCTAATTTCCATCTGTAGTCCCTCGGCAGGTAACACCACAAATTTAAACAAAGCAAAAACAAGTAACAAATCTATGCTAAAAGTGTCCACAAGTCTGGTTTTTCTTTAGCCACTCTTTTAAGTAGGACTGGAAGGTGGCAAGAGTTGAAGTTTCTCTTATTGATAGTGGCAGACTGTTCCAAAATTTTGTGCCTCTGACTGAGACACACATTGTCCGAATGTGGAGCGTCTGTGTGGGACGTCACAGTTCCCCCGGGCTGTGGCCCTAGTTCCCATCCCCATTTCTAAAATATGACAATATCAGAACCAGAAAAAAAGCGATATGGTTCAAAAGACTTGAAAAGATCGGCTTTGACAATAGATGCATCCCACTGAGAAATCAAACATGGCGGTTTGATGCTAATTTTTTCGGAGGACCCTTACCAGTATGCATTGCGCGATGACCAGAAGTCCAAAATTCGGGATGCACGTTTTGGCTTTACATTGAAACATTGTCGCCCCTCTCTCTTTAACTGCTGCAGCGAGCCTTGTTATTTTGGTCTTATACTGTTCATATTAACCCGCTCTACATGATCCTTGTGCGTTTTAATTTCTCTATTTTGTACGTAAATAAATTCCTATTCCTAATATAAAACCCGGCTTCACATTTGCTCCTATAACTGGCACACTCACAAACACCACATTCATACATAGCCAAGGGAATGTGGCCAAAGTGTCTTGCCTAAGGACACAAGAGCGGTTCGACTCAGTGCCGTCCACAGATAATATTAAACAGTGAAGTGAGGCAGAGCGGAGCACACGGGGGGAAATTCATTGGTTTAATGAACTGGATTGTGTCTGTGGTTTCCTCGAGCCCACATATGCTCCTGTGGCTGTGCTGCTAATGGCTGTTAAAAATTAATTATAGCTTTATAAAGACTTACATCACCGCGGTAACAAGGGCACGGCTGCTCCTTATCTCCAACACAGCTGTTAATTGGGGTCGTGTTCATTTACAGTGAAAAGTTTAACTCAACATGTTTTTGTGAAAACACTTTGAATAAACGGGATTAAGAAAAAGACTCCTACAGTTTATCCACTACAAGATCCTTCTGAATGTATTATCTCTGAATGTGAGCATCGGTTAAATGGAGGGTCCACCACTTTCTTGTTTCCATGGAGATGTTATTCCTTTACCTGCGGTGTTCCAAAGTATGGCATTAAACTGATCAATCACCATAGAAACAAGGAGAATGCAGGTTTCTATAAATATTTTTGAGCCACAAAAACACCTATAATTGAACAAATGCGTCTTATATAAGTTTAATACCATATTGTGGAACATAACAGGTAAAGCAATAGCATTTCTATGGTAGCAGATCCCCAGCCTGAAAATAATAATAATAATAATAATAATAATAATAATAATAATAATATTTCAGTTTTATATAATGCTTTTCATGGTAACACAAAGACACATCACAGTAGACCAGTGCTTCTCAATTATTTTCTGTCATGCCACCCCTAGGAAAAAGAAAACATTTCACGCCCCCTCCACTCCACAGAACCACTACCAAACGTGGACAAATCACATCCTTGCCTTCAGTCGCCTACATACGAGAGCAACTGTTTTAGACGTGTCTCCAAAGCGACTCTTGGGACACACTCAGCATGTGTCCGTCCTTATTCCACGCTAATCTGTGCATCATTCATTCATTCTTTTTTCAAAATAAAACCAAAAATAAGTAAATGAAAAAACAACTATTTTCTTCATTATTTTTCTCCAAAACCAAAATGAAAAAACTGATTTTCAGTTTTCGATTTT